GCGGCCCCGGTCGCGGCGGGAAGAGGGGAGGAGCCAATGGGAGAGACGGGCGCCTCAGGGTGGCACTGCCCCTTCGTCCCGCGGCGGGCCAATCAGAGCGCAGGTCACCTCAGGGAGGTGACGCCTCCTGGTCGGATTCTGAGCCAATCAGAGCGCGGGTCACCTCAGTGAAGTCCCGCCCTTTCATCGAGCGGGAGGTCAATCAGAGAGTGGGTCGCCTCAGAGGGAAGCACCGCCCCCCAAAGCGGAGGGGGGCCAATCAGAGCGCGGGTCGCCTCAGTGAAACACCGCCCCCTCGCTACGCGGCGGGCCAATCAGACCGCGCGTTGCCTCAGTGAGGCACCGCCTCCTCGCAGGACTCTGAGCCAATCAGAGCGTGGGTCGCCTCAGGGAGGTGACGCCCCCCCAAGGAGAGGGGGGCCAATCGGAGCGTGGGTCACTTCAGTGAAGTCCCGCCTCCTCAAGGAGCGGAAGACCAATCAGAGCACGGGTCACCTCAATGAGAGGCACCGCCCCCTCATGGAGCAGGAGACCAATCAGAGTGGGGAGCACCTCAGGGGGAGGCACCGCCCCCTCGCCGGACTCTGAGCCAATCAGAGCGTGCGTCGCCTCAATGAAGAACCACCCCCTCGTCGCACGACGGACCAATCAGAACGCGGGTTGCCTCAGGGGGAAGAACCACCCCCTCGCCGGACTCTGAGCCAATCAGAGCACAGATCCCCTCAGAGGGACGGCCCCGCCCCCTCCATAGAAACAAACGGCGCGAAGGAAGGGGGGGGGTGCGTATAAACCGCTTTATTAACGACATCATCAATGACGTCAGTGATGACATCACCGCCGGTGTAGGCGGAGCTCCTTCAGCGCCCACTGCCGCTGGCCAATCAGCTCCCGGAGGCGGCCATATTCCCGGGCTAAGGCCAAGTAGGCGGGGCCTAACGCAATGGCCGCCTTCTCCTCCTCCCGCAGCAGCCCCGCCTCCCGCTCCGCCCTCTGCCGGGCTTCCTCCAATCCCAGCCTGCGTAGGAGGATGACATCATCAAGGGGGGTGCGGTTAGGAGGGGAGGGGGCGGGGTTTCGCGAAGCCACACCCACCTGATGCGCGCGTGGGCCCGCAGGGTGGTGGGGGGGTAGGTCTCCAGGAGCAGCGTCACCTCTTCCAGGCTAATTTATGCCAAAGGGGCGGGGTTTAGGCGAAGCCACGCCCCCTCAGGGTGGGGATAGGGTCATTTAGGGTGAGGCCACGCCCACTGTGGGGGAAGCCACGCCCCCTCCTTACCGCGCCTTGAGCAGCAGCGCCGCCCCCTTCCCCTCCA